CCTCTGATAATTCTGATTGTTGAAATGATTCTTCATTTACTATTTTAATGAAGTGTAACCATACATCAAACACAGGACATCCTGTAGCTAATTCTTGATTATTGTTAAAGAACCTTCAGGTATGTTATCTAATTTAATGTTTACAAATCCATGTTATGTGATGATTATTGAGAAGGAATTGGTGAATTTGAATTTTATTTACTCTATAGTTTAAAAATCTATAAAATAATTGGTTAATTTTACTGCTTTGTTGATTTCGTCAAATTACTCAGTGTAGTAGAAATCCCATTTCGTCACATTTATTTTGGTCATGTGACGAAAAGGAGATATTTCCGTCACCCAACCTTGATATACACTTGATAATTCTGACATTTATTATATTATCAAGTACTTTAAAGAGTAGTGACTTATCGAGTTCACCTGTATGTTGCCAATTATTTTTATTAATTGATACTTTTACAAAGTATTTGTCAAACATTTATGATGATGAATAATCAACTCAAATTTTCTTAGTAGGTAGTGACAGTCTGACCATATGCGCTGAGTAGTAGGTATGATCATAACGTCGTGAATACTTTATACTAGCAAAAACGCATTGGTTTTGAGGTGGGACCATTGGTTTGACGGGCTGGTGAATAGTAGAATAGTTTTTTAGCGGAGCAAATAAATTTTTAGGGTTAATTATCATTCTATTGACCAGTTTACACATCAAAAATACTCATGCTTAACATCGAGATGCAATAAGATATAAAGGTTTCAAGCTCATAAAGCTCATGAAACTCATGCGTTTATCAATGATTCAATAGTAAATTTCAATTGAAATCTTTTGCCTTCAAACTAATTTTCATTTGAATATTAATATTAAGTCATTTTATCTGAATATTTCTGTTATAAAATAATTTTCCGAGTTTTAATAATAACATATTTTTTAATTTACGTCAGTACAGGACTTTGTCTCCGAGAATTATTCAAATTCAACACTTGAAGCTTTCATGAAACACGCACACAGACACGCTTTACTAACAAATGTGCCAAATTTATCAAAATACGCATTCAATTTGCTATATTGTGTTGACAACTTTAAAGGAAGCCATATCAAAATTGTTCTCGGTTATAAGAAGTACGAACCACCAATAGTACAGGACTTTGTCTCCGAGAATTATTCAAATTCAACACTTGAAGCTTTCATGAAACACGCACACAGACACGATTTACTATCAAAATACGCATTCAATTTGCTCTATTGTGTTGACAACTTTAAAGGAAGCCATATCAAAATTGTTCTCGGTTATAAGAAGTACGAACCACCAATATATAGAAAAGAATAATAATATACAAATCTTCATTTATATGGACATTGAATTCACGAAACGACCAACAGTAGAAAGAACTATCCTGAATGCCAAATTCCTATATGCCAATTTTCTTTCTCAAACTTAATATTATACTATTTAGTATTTTTCCCACAGAAAACAGTATATTTTGTTTTGGTCTAATTAGAGTTTGCATTTTTGATGATTGTCAAAAAAAAAATTATTTTCAAAATTTACTGTATATACCTAACTTTTAATGCTAGTTACCAATATGACAAAAAAAGACAATAAACGAAAGCTTGAAGAAGTTGAGGTTGATGAGGATCTGATAAAAGAGGCTAAAAGACAACGTGAAATATGGTATTTATTTATTTTATTTTATTGTAATTGTAATTGTGATTGTTTAAATGTGTCATTTACATTAAAAAAACAAACACAGTGAACTTGTAAATCGTCGACCAAAGAAAACACCAAAGAATGGACGAAACTTCATTATCGAATCTTCAGAAAAATCAATTCCACAAAAAAATATAACAAAGTAAATTAAAAAAAGTTTCATTTCATTAATTAATTAAATTTATTTATTTATAAACGTCCTAATTAATTGATCATTATAGACTTGGTAAATATATAGCAATTGATTGTGAAGCAGTAGGTATTGGCCCTGATGGAACAGAATCAGCACTTGCCAGAGTCACAATTGTTAATTTCCATGGAGTGGTAGTATTGGATAAATATGTAAAACCTTTGGATTATGTGACAAATTTCAGAACAGAAATCAGTGGAATAACTAGAAAAATGCTCATAAATGGTATAATATATATATATATCTTAATTATTGTTAATAGCTAGTGGTCAATGATATGGTGAGATTTTAATTAATTATTATTTT